ATGTAATATACCTATATATAAATTTCAATAAAGAAAACTGAGGCAAGACCTCGCTTTTAAAAAAAAAAAAAAAAAAAGTATAAGTGTATGTAGGTTTAATGAATTAATAAAATTTCAAACTTTACTTTATTTATTAATGTCAATTATATGAATTCTAAAAAATAATCAAATTAAAGAGTATTATTTTAGTATATTTATTTATTTTAACATTTTGATTTTGAAAATTATTAGAAACAAATTTTTAATAAAATTTTTTTAATGCTTGGCACAGTCATGTAAAAACTTGACCTTATATCTTAAATACTTCTTAAATCACTATATATATATATTATAAATATAATAATTTAAAAAGTAATTTAAGATTACTAATATTTAGTTTTATTAAGCAATTAAGATTAAATTTTTCTTGATTATGCAAGTACTAATTTGTTTAATGTATTTTTAATTCTTTCGAATTTTATATTTATATTAATTAATTTAACCGTCAGTAAAGCGACGGGTTATATACTAGTTATGTATATAAAATCTTTATATCTAATAAAATGACATTAGCTTTTTGCCACATTCAAAAAAATATTAATCTTAAAACAAATAAACTAAATTATTTTAATTTTTTTAAAAAAATAAACAAATAGTTAAAAAATAAAAGAAGTTTGTAAAAAGTTGGATTTAGTAAGTATATTTTTGATTTATTTTTCAAAATACCTTTAAGTTTTTATTAATTCTTAGCAAATTCTTGTTTTCTTGTTACCGGAACTTTCTTTTGATTTGAATACAAATACAGAAAAAAGGTTACCTAAAAAAAAGCTTAATCCTAATACAAACTATTACAAATTATATCTACATTTTAGTTTTTTAGTGGTTGTTGGCTTTAGCCAGCAGCTTTATGATATCAAACTAGTATTTAGAAATTAATATATTTTGTTGTATTCAAAGTCTAATAAAGTTTATGACGAAACTGCCAAAGTAAAAAAAAATAAGCAAAAAAGATTTAATTATTAAGTATCACCATTTGTTAACATTGATAGTTCCATCACTAGTTTTAAATAAGTGTTTTTTAAAGATTTTTATTTAAAGCTTAAAACAAGATAAAAAAATTTTTGAAAGCAAAAAAGTTAACTATTCTTTATCCCAATAGATAAGTATACCAGCCTTGTTTTAAGGTTATATTCTAGAATATATACGATCGGAAACAATGACAACTTTTCGTTATTAATCAATGCACAAATAATCTTATGCAATGCTTTAATTTACACTACTTGCTAATAACGATTAATAATGTTTTATCTTGAATAAAAAAAAATATAATTTACTTAAATTTTAAATCTTTTCTATCAAATAGTTGATAAAAGGATTGTTTAAAACAAAGTAGTAAATATTTAAACTTAGTAACTTACTTTAACTTTAATGCATCAAACAATTTACCATAGCGCAACACCAAAGTATTAACTTCTCTAAAACAAATGATACGTGATTAACCCACACGTTCTTTTTTGATGACACTAATAATTAAAGGGTTATCAACTCTCCAAACATTTTCTCCACAGCGGACGCAACGCGTTAAGCCATAAGGTTTTTCTTCTCCAATAGCCACGGGTGTAACAGCTACGGTTTTTAATTCTTTTATAGCGAAATCCAACATTCTAACATCAAAAATGTCGTCATCCGATCTTAGCAGTTCTCCAGCTAAAGTTAAAACCGCGAGGTCTCCTAATGATCTTGCATAGTAACCACATGGCACCTTGCTACTCGAAATTTTTGGGCGAGTATTTTCATCAACAATTTGTGACTCTAAAATTTCTAAAATTTTACCCTCAAATAAAAGTTCATTTCGCACTTTGATTGTATGTGAAATGTTTTGTGAAATATCTATATCACCGGTAATTTGTTCAAAGAATTTTCTACTAATTGAGTTGAACGTACATCCCATATCAACAAATGCAATGTAAATTGCACCACCTGACTTTAGTAATCCGTATAGGAATATAATAAAATCTATAATAGCCTTACGTGGATCAGTTGTTAACCTTGTGATATCAGATCTAGACGAATCATAAATTAAATTATTTATTTTATAAATTTAGAAAACAAAGTCAACGATCGTGCATGTTTTGTAAATCTTATTAATACTTACAAATAGTATATCATATGCATACAATTTATGAAATCAATTGAAGCTGACAGTTTTGGTGGTAATGGAGCATTCTCGTAATATGTATAATAATTTTGTACAGGGCCTTGATATACAATTCCTTGATTAAGATGCTCATATTCTAATAATTTTTGTTGATAGGCTTTTAACAAAATAGGATTCGGTTCAATAACATGGATAATATGATTTTGTTTTCTTAGGCTGACATTTTCTTCAAATTTCTTTGCAAAAAACCAATCGATAGCTTCTCCTAATATAAACAAAACAATAAAAAATTATTGTATATTAAAACGCAAAGAACATGATTATAAATAAAGAAACATACCAGAGCCAGCACCCACATCTAACATATGAAATTCATCAGTTACAGAAGTATTAATGGCTGAGGTCAAAGTTTCGTGTAATGATGGAATCATGAGTTCACGGCTGTCGTTGCCTAAAACGTCTGATGCGGATCGCAAAACTGTCACACCACGTTTGAGTGCCATGATGCGATAGCGAAATACGTTTTCAAACACTTGATTATTGGTCAAATTTTGAAATTCGGTACGTATGCTGGCTTCAGCATCAAGCTCATCTTGAGATATTTCAAAGACTGTATCTTTAAGCATTATAATTTATAAGTTTGATAGGTGCATAGAAAGGAGATGGTTCTGAACTATCGCTATTGCATATTATATATACATATGAGGCATCGTTCCTAAGTCATGCGTTACACGATTGCCATATTTGTCCTATGATGTTTATTTTCCCGCAAATCCGGTAGTTGAAAGCAATTATAATCACGTGAGTTGATTGCATATTTTTTCCAAAAACATGCAATAAAGCACACTTAAGATGGAATTGAAATCTGCCAACTTTAGATATCAAATTGCCAGGTTTGCACACTGTACCATTCATTAAATTATATTGCAGCATTAGACAAACCTTTTGATTTGCTTGCAGAGAAATTGACGAATTCGATAAGTTTATTTCAATCATTCAGAAATCATTTGCGTGGCCAAGATCCGTTGAGGAAACAATATCAATAGTAGAACCCTACAAAATAAATTAATTGATTGGATCACGACAATTATGTATTTTAAAAGGTTATTAATAATTTCAGCTTGACGCACGATACTGCAATGTTAAATTATATTTTGAGTGTAATTAGTATGCCTATAAAATCTCAGTATCACAAACATTTTATCTTCGATAAAATAAAGAGTAGTATCCTCCAATGAACGGCTCAAATAAGTTTATTTAAGGCTTATAAGTGATATTTTTATATATTATATAGTTTACAAACTAAATGAGCCTTAATGAGCCAATGGGAATGTATTTGAGCCGGCTCACTGGAGAACACTAATAAAGAGGGTCTGCTGTCTGCAAAAAATCTCATGCCAAAAAATTTCACCTCTTGACGACTACTCTATTTAAGAGACATTCTTTCAAAAAATCACTCATTCCTCGGTTCCTCTCTTGGCAATTAACATGGAACATTCCCGATTGTCGCGAAATTCATTTAGTAACTTTCACCTTTCCTCATTGCACTATTACCTTGCCATTATTTGGCTTCTCAGTGTTGTTTTGCTTACTGACGCAGCGAAGATTCATAAAAAACATGGTCCCCATAATCATTCAGGACGGAGTCTTCTTAATATTAATCTTCAAACTAATAACCCAAGACAAAATTTCTCTTCCAGCAATTTATGTGATCCTAATGTGAAACAGGTTTATGTCAAAAAATATCTTGTTTATAGCGAAATTCAATATAATATTTCTAACAAGTTCAAATAATAAATTAATAGTATTCTGGTTATATACAAACTTCTGACGGTGCAAACATGTTTTTTTGGTTCTTTGAATCGAGAAATAGCCCGTTAAGCTCGCCTCTCACATTATATCTTAATGGAGGTCCCGGGTGTTCCTCAATGATTGGGCTATTTCAAGAAGTAGGACCTTGTAGATCTCAATCAAATGGAAATAGCACTTATACAAATCCTTATAGTTGGAACCAAGTTTCAAATTTATTATTTGTTGACCAGGTTGGTGCAACATTTAAATAAAGATTTTTTATGCAAATCAAATATTTCCGGATCGAAGTGACACATTTTTTATTCTACCAGCCAATCGGTGCAGGATTTTCATATGGCACAAATTATTTGACTTCGACGGATCAAGCAGCATCTAATCTTTATGAATTCTTACAGAAATGGTTTGCTATATTCACAGAATACTCGACTTTAAACTTTCATATATTCGGTGAATCTTATGCAGGACATTATAGTAAATAATTGTGTTTTTAATCTTATTGCTTCAATTGCCCACGATACATAGAGGTTAATTGTTTATTTCATTTGCTTTAGTTCCTATCTTAGCAAATTTGATAGTGAATAAAACTAGCATACTTAATATAGCATGTGGACTCTTACCATGCCAGATTAATATCAATCTCAAATCTATTGGAATTGGTGACGGATGGATAGATCCTGCAATCCAATAGTAAGATTTCTTGGATTATTTGTTTTATAACTTATATTAGTTAAACGTACAAATTTATAGCATTGACACTTAAATTTATTATAAAGTGCATCTCTTATGGATTATGCCACAAACAATTCTTGTAAGTCTATTTATAACCTAATATATTGTCAAAAAATTCACTAAATAGATTCATTCTATATAAAATTTACAGATAATCCAACACTGGTTTCTTCCGATGTGCTTACAAATATGAATGGGGCATATCCAACATGTAAAAACTTACGTAAGTCAATTTTTCTTCTGAATTTTCAGAAATTTAAATCACGTAACTTTTGATTAATTTTTATGCATCTTTTCTAAAGTTTCACAATGTGACAGCACAAGTACTAATCAAGACTGTAGCAATGCTGATGACTATTGCTTCGATAACGTTTTCCTTCCGTTTGCCGAAAATTTAAATTGCAGTATCTATGACGTTAGAGCGTCTTTGTATGGTCAGCCGGAACCACCGGAAGATTATATGAATTACTTGAACTCATCTGCAGTTATGAAAGCAATTGGCGCAAAGACAAATTATGTCGAATGTTCCGAAAATGCTTATATGTCTTTTACGAATACTGCGGATTTGCAAGTGTTATTTTCTTGTATATACTATATGGTTGGCCCGTGATGATTAATTATTGATAATCTTTAAACATTAACAGTGCACGAAGCTCTCTCACCCAACTAAGTAATGTCATTAATGGAGGTATTCGTACTTTGCTGTATTTTGGTGATGCTGACGCTAATTGTAATTGGTAAGAATTTGTGCAGCATTATAAATGGCATTATCGTATCGTCTATAAATCAATATTTCTTTCTAAACTAGGATTGGTGGACTGAATGTAGCTAAATCAATCCCATCGAAATACCAAAGCCAATTTAATTCCAAGACGTTACAAAATTTTAAAGTCAATGGTCAAACAGCTGGTCAAGTTCAATCTTCGCCTTATTTATCCTTTGTAAAAATTTTACAAGCTGGTCATGAAGTACCATATTATCAATCACAATATTCTCTCGGGATGTTTACTCAGTGGATAAATGGACTTATTTAATTTATAACTACTATGTGCTTCGACCCGTTGTTAAACAACGGGTAGTTTAATACAAAATCACGTGATTAAATACGGATTGAACATCTAGATTTTTATAATATAGATTTATTTATTATTACTATTATTATTGTAAAGGTAAAATTACATAATCGACACATCTATCAGTTGAATTGGCTAATGGTGTATCATGAATAGAAATATGACTCGAATCTCGTAAACAACAAATTAAGCGCACAAATAAATTTATTTTGACATTTAGACATTTGGATTATGTCCAATCCGCTTAATATGGACTTAAATATTAATTTGACATTCAAATTAATTTACTATATATATATTTAATAATATAAATTTAATAAACATTACTACATAGTCAGTGTTGTCATTGGACTTATTTTGGTCATTTTAGAGTATCGCTGTTGATATTCATGCTTTAGGCAAAGGATTACAGAACACCAGTATGGTATGGAGTGCACAGTACCTATTTTAAACACCATACCATATTAATCTGCTTTAATTCTTAACCCTAACCCTAATATATAATACCGGATCAATATGATACGGATTTAATTTGGTATTTTACATACCATGCCAGACTGATAAGTTAGCGATGTAAACTTAAATTAATATAATTTGGTATTAGATATTGTCGTACAGTATAACGTATGTAAGTTATTTGACCTACGATAAATTTGATATTAATAAAACAAGTTCGAAAAAGATTTCAGTATAATAAAAAATCAATTGATCATATGATTTATCAATGACAAAATTCTTATTTAATTATTCATCACTGCGCTTTTTTGGATTTGGGCCTAAATTAAAAACCCCGAATTACTATTGAATTAATCGTGATTATTAATAATGATTACGTGTCAACCACATGACGCATATACTAAAATAAACCCCAAATCGAATAAAACTAATATAGTTATCACGTCAAACCCATCTCCTTCTGTAATGGTAAAATTTATTGTAAATCTGCTTATGGTATATACTATTAACAATAATATTAAGATATTCTTTTACTTTTAGTAACTTCAATGGCTATCATTTTGAAGTTTGAATGTAACATATGTGGAAATTCATATAAAACAAATAGAGGACTAAAAAAACATTTTGACATTGTTACAAAATACAATGTTTCATGTTTAGATCTTGATATTTTGCCTGAGAACATTATACAACAATTCAAAAGTATTTTAGTTCACTATATTCACAAACAATTACCAAAAGGATCTAAATAATTAGAAAAACAAACAGTGTTCCTGCTACAGAAAGTTTATTTTATGCAATATTTAAAAATTATATATATTATTATTTTGTATCAAAAAGTAAATATAAATGTATATTTAATGGAAGTTCATCTAATCAATTATTAGCAAGTATTTTAGATACACAAGATTGGAAAATCAAATTTTATAAGCAATGACAATGTATTTATATTGTGCTTTGCGATGATAAAGATATTATTGAAGAAATCCTATTATACAAGTTATTACACAGCAATCAATTTATAATAAGAAGTTTTATAGATCAAAATGTAAACAGGGTCAATTAGTAGTAGAATGAAAAAAAACCAAAAAACTACTGATATAAATAGCAATATTACTCAAGCAGGTTAGATTTATTTTCATTTTTTATTAATTAAATTATAATTTAAATAAATTAAGTATAGCAAATTATTTAATTATATACAGCAAATGATTTAATTATATGTAGCAAATTATTTAATTACTTTAAATATAAATAATAAATTAATTACTTCTATATATTTATATGAATATTTTATAATTATTGATTATTTATTAAAGTATTATTATAATAAAACATTCTATTTTTATGTTGTAAAAATTTTTATAATTGCATTATTACTATGCATTATTTTATGAAAAAAATATGTTACCTGCTAATGATTTTTCTTTTCAAATTCACTATATAAAAATGCTGCTAATCTTTATTTTTAATAAATTGCTATAAATTCAGAAATATAATAAATCAGTACATGAATATATAGTGTTATATCATCAGATTAATATAAATCTTTTTTAAATTCTTAAGTATTTAGAATTTTTTTAGATAGTAATAAAAATAAAGCAAGTCATTTTTTTGCATAATACTTAAAGTTTTTACTTTTTGTTTTAAAATTCTTTATTATTCTATAAAGTTTATAAATTTTATTCCATAATTCTTTTATAATATTAACATAATTTTTGAAGAGAATTATTGATAAATAAGAATTGTAACATTTTAAGCTTATTATATTCTATTAATGAAATATAATTTCAATTTTTAAATTTTTGATTTTATTAGAACTGAAAACTAATATTAATTTTACTTATTTTTTTTATAATAATTTTTTGTACAATATTATTAAATAAATTATACTTAATTAATTCAGCTATTACGAGACTCTATAATTGATTAGTAATTTTAAGTATAATATATAATTCATTAAGAATCTAGTTATAAAAAGATATTATATATATATATATATATAATTTGCTTATGCTAAGAACGTAGTTATTAGCAGCTATTGCTTTTATTGTATTTTAATTATAGTTACATAACTTGTACAAGGTAAGTATACAACTAATTACATGTATAACTTTTAGTTGTTTATTTTAAGTAGTTCATCTGTATAGCAGGTTTTACACTAGTTGCCATATCTGCAATCTACTAGAAGATTACCTATTTAAACACTCTGATCACTATACTTACACTAACAAATAATATACAAGTTTCTATATACCTAAGTGTCATTTAACCTAACTGTAACCTTCCTGTCTGTACATTTGTTGAGCTGTTACACATTTTAGAGTATATAACCTAACTGTAAAGCTCCAGAGAACCTCCTTGCTAACTAACTATCCACATTTAGTTTCTTGTTAACAGAACTCATTCTTGCGAGTTCACTCAAATCCTAGCACCAACTTCATAGCATATTTCTAGTACTTATAATATACTCTTGTTTCCAATCTCAGACTTCTAATCCAGTTAGCCTGATAGGACTATAATCTGTTCTTGGTACCTTAGGGTCTGTCTTCTAAAGTCTTTTTTTTTCAGTTTGAGACTTTTAGTAGCCTAATTAGTAGTATCCTTTATCTGAGGTTCTTGCCTGCCTAATTCCTTCTATATTAGTATTTGTTTCCTAGGTCTAGCCTTTATAGTAGTACTGTTAAAGATCTGTGCTACCTCTTTACTCAGGTCTTTCCAAATGGGCTTCAGTTTTTCAGTTCACAGATTTATATAATCATGAGAACTTATCTTAGATTTGCACTACCTAATACTGGTTTACATTCCTCTGTATAACTTCAATATTGTGCAAATGCCTTATAACCTACCAGTTATCTGATGTGACCATGTTACAGATACTGATCCCAACTGATCGATGGAGTGCTATTACTGTAATACTGCTTACTTCTTATAATACTAATATAATATAGATAGTTTTTTAAATTTTCATTATTATTAAGTTTTAAACTTCTAACCTATCACTTGGAGGTTGAATATTTAACCACTTTACTAAATTATCACACCTCAAGAGGTATTATATTAAAAAGTAACATTTTTAAATATTTTTTGTAGTAATTAGAATTTTCAACTAATTTATCTATTTTTTTATAAATTTTTTATTTATTTGATAAATTACCTTGTTGAAATTTATTAATTATATACTATGAATAAAAGTTCTTACTATTTATACTATTAAAACTTAAACAAATTATTAAAAATTTGTAATTAGATGAAAAATAAAATTGAAAACTTTATTTAATATTATTAACTATTAATTCTTGATCTTTTAAACTGATTAAATCATTATGAAGTGAAGCTATTATATTTATTAATATCTTATAGTTTTCAAAACCAGAATAAATATAATAGTATAATAATAATTAAGTTGTTGTAATATATTTTTGTAAGGGAAAAAATAAGCAACTCTCTCTGTAGATCATATATACCAAAACTGCAAAAATAACATTTGATTATTTCTCAATATTCTATTAAGTAAATCTTACTTGACCTCTTAAATAAAGTTGTTCAGCACACTTTTATCCTTCTAGATAGCTGTGTTTTATTTCTCAATAAAACTTGGTTGCTAAAAAAAGTTCCAATAACCAAGTTTTTGATTTTTGTTTATTTACATATAATTTTACTAATTAAATCTATCTTTTTACTTATTCAAAAGTTGTTCAACTCACTAAGATGAACATTTTGATATATAATTTGTTAAAACCGAACCAAAACTTATTGAGATATAAGCAAAAAACAAAAACAAAAACTTGACTTTTGCAGGTTTTTTTATTAGTAATTTTAGGAAAACTTGCTGGATTGTCTGGAAATTTCATTTTTCTGTGATCCATTAGAATTTTCTAAATATCCAATTAGCTTATCTATAATCTAAACTCTTTTTCAAACTTTTCTAATTAGTCTAGAAACCTCTAAACAAACTAAATTTTTTCAAAAAACATATGTAACAACCTATTTTTAGACCAAAATGCCAACCCTAGTAACAACTATATCTGATACCATTAACCTTAATTATTTTTACCAAAAGTGTCCTAAAGGCTTCAGAATTGGTATTCATAAAGATGCAGCAACCTTATCTCATCCTATTTCTGTAAACAAACAATCTAAAAATTGCAATATTACTGAACTTAGAGGAAGTACCAAATATAATCATTACTTCAAAGCACCTAAATCTAGTTCTGTTGTCACATGCTTCTGTGGCAAATTTTATATACACTTTATCTTAACAATAAATCAAACTTATAAGCAACACAAAACTACAAATATTATTAAAAAACTTAAAGATCAAAAAACTTTAGCAAATACAATTGCAAACTCTACCAAATTTGTCTTATTATCACTATAGCATCACCTTTATCTATTATATATAACCACTTCTGTACTAAATGTAACCTACCTATTGCCTATAAAGAAATAAATAACCAACACTACCTGCTACTTTATATAACAATAAATCTTATTACAAAGCCTGTACTAGTATATAACAATTTGTTCAACAATCAAACTCTTCTCCTATATTTATTCAAAAGCTTTAACAAACAATTAGTTCCTATAATTTACTTGTATTTGAACTTACTTTTACAACCTTATCTAATAACAACAACAATACTATAAATGATATGGATTTAAACAACAACAATATTAATAACCAACAACAGTACCAACAACAATAACAACCATTATATCAAAACTCATCTTATTCTTAGAAACAACAACAACAATAGCAACAACAACAACAAATAAATAACCAACAATAACAGCCAACACAAACTAATACTACCACCAATCAACTAAAAATTAAAGCCAATCTAACATTTGACTGGCTTGTTAATTTTCTAATTTCTAATGATATAAAAGACAAATCACAACTTCAAACAGAATTCTTAAGAAAAATTTTTAATTTTCTCAAATTTTACCTATATGATTTCTATTTTAATAAAGAAATCAAACCTAAAACTT